CCTTACTCCCTACTGTCAGTTCTATTTTCTTGGAAGAAGGCTCTGTTGGGCAGCTCTGTCTTACCTATAAATAAAAGTTCTTGTCACAGTCAGTTGCTCTGAGCCATGGAGGGCATGACATTGGATTTTAAAATAAGTCCAGCCCCTTATCGAACACATTTAGGTGTATTGATGTGTCTTTTTCTATAAATATAGGCTGAATTTGGCATCCAGTATTTCTGGGGAAGGTAGGTAAGGACAACTAAATTTTACCAGTCCCCTACACTCCTACTTCATGCTTGGCACTGTGCTAAACACTTTGGCACATTTTAAGTTTTAGTTAGTTATATATATTTGTCCCACACTCCATTCCCATGAAGGGTGATGGAATTTTGTTTCTACAGAAAGGCCTTATAGATAAAATAAGGTCTAAGCCAGAATTCCTTGATTCAGAGTCTTTCGTGGCCATTAATCAATCATTTAAAACATAATACTGACTACTGTCCCATTTCTCATATATAAAACTCTTCTGTTCCAGGAGCAGAGCTTATGTTTGAAAATTACTTTAAATTGCTAACTCTTTTGGTTAACATTGTATTTTTTACTTGCAAGCTTTACAAAATTCAGCTTGCTCCAAAACGTGTCTATATTTATGTGAAAAAGTTTGTGTGAATAAAGTTTAAAAACAGTAGCCACTACAGAGTATATTTTGAAGTTTTAAGATGCCCCTGGCTTACTTTTCCCGTTGCTGTTTGTCATTGTTAATACTGCAGTTCTGGACATAAAACCCCAGGTCTAACTGCACTGCTGCTGTTATGCAAATGTCTAACACACAGTGCAACTACTCAGCAGGTTGGAGGGCTAAGGGATAGAACCAGCCACCTTGCTGATTCAAAGTTGACTGTAGTCACCTGTTCCTGTGTCCCAGAGAAGAACAAATGTTTGGGTACAAAAAAAAATATATATATATATATATATATCGGGAAAATCATGTGACCTTCTCTTTTTCAGTTTAGTGAAATGAGAGCCTTGGCCATCAGGCTTGTAGTAGTAAGTTGCTTATTTTAGTATATGCTTCCCTATGAAGAACGAATCTCACCTTTGCATATACTTGTCTTGAGTGAAAAAGTTGGACTAACCTATTTTAACGTCCATTTCTGCTCTGACATCCCCTTTTCCCAGGTTGGAAGTGCTCAGGGTCAGACTGCTTCTTCTGGGTGTGCTCCGTGTAAGATTCTGTGCATCACTTAGGTGTCGAGGGCAAAGGGGGAGAGAGCTGGGTGGGGGTTCCCCGCAGCTGGACAAAGTTGGCTTCATTTGCTGTGATCATGGGGCCAAGGAAACCTGGATTCACACCCTGCCTTGATCTATATGTTGAAAAGTAGAAAATTAAGAAAGTCAGATTTTTTTAGCCCACATTTTCCCAGGTAAATGTTTAGTTTTTATTTTGTTGGTTGTGATGATAGCTTCCTCAACCCTGGCTGCTCATTAGAGTACTTAAACTTACAAAAAAAAAAAAACTCCAATTAAACTCCGGATGATAGCTTCCTCAACCCTGGCTGCTCATTAGAGTACTTAAACTTACAAAAAAAAAAAAAAAAAACTCCAATTAAACTCCCCAGTTGAGTTTATTAAATCCAGGAGTGAGAGCTACTGGTATAAAGTATCTGGGATATTTTCATGGAAACTGATGAAAGGAAACATCTATTAAATTTTGCTTGCTAATGATTTACTGTGCCTACTATGAACGTGCACTTTTTTTTTAAGCAAAAAAAAAAGTCACAAAGAAAGAAAAAAGCTTGTTAATGATTTACTGTGCCTACTATGAACGTGCACTTTTTTTTTAAGCAAAAAAAAAAAAAAGTCACAAAGAAAGAAAAAATCATTTACCTTTTGGTAAAGTGCCTCTCAAAGAACAAGACTGCTAATTGTGTTAGAGGTGGAACTCTTATTAGAATCCTGAACCATTTCATTTTTTCTATATCTGCCCAGCTGGGAAAACATGATCTCCGGTAGCTTTGACATTTTGTGTGATGACAGAGCCCATGCGGTTTCATGTCTCTTAACCATTTCACTTTTTTTAAGTTGTCTTTGACCCTTTTCCTTTTCCTGTTCTTGCCTGCCTGACAAGGCCTGCTTCACCATTCAGGAAGTTATCAAGTATCCAGGCTCCTGAAGATGTGTGTTCACCTGTACCTTATGAGGCTGAGGGGCTGGGGGCAGGGAGTGTCTATTTTTAGACAGCTCTGTACCTGTTGTCATTCCCAGGCTGTCATTGTCTTCCACAGATCCCTAGCAATTGGAACCAAAACCGGTTATAAGCTGTTTTCTTTGAGTTCTGTGGAACAACTGGACCAAGTCCATGGAAGCAGTAAGTGTGCGTGTGTGACATCTCAGGAACACTGAATCCTCCCTCTAACTTTCATCCATGATACAAGAGAGCTTTCTGCTTTTCCCTCCCTTGACCACCAAACTTGAGTCAGTATTTTTCTTTTTTTTTTTTTTGTCTTTTTTCCGTGTCCGGCAACGGATCGCAACCCTCAGTGTTGCCCCAGTACCGGACCGGGACCGGCAACGGGATCGCAAGCCTCGGTG